GTTGGACAGGTGTACCTAATAAAGTGGCCAGTGAGTGTATATTAGATAAGAAAATTGATTTTCTTTTCTGATAGGCTTCATATTGATGGCATGTTTTACACACATGATATGTCAAGGCTGTGAGAAAGATTTTTGTTTTTCACTATTAGTTGGATGTGTAATATGATTGGAAATTATCAGTTTTTTGTTTTGGCTTTTATTTACTGCGTCAATTTTTATATTTTAAGTTTAAAATAAGCATTCAACATCTTAGGCTATCTGATTTGCAGTCTGACTCTAAAAAAATGTTTTGTGTGAATTTTTTATTTGGCAGAATTATCTCTTCTCTTTGTATTCGTCAGCTCAGTTTAGCTTGACTTGTTTCTAAGTGGGACAAATCACTGCTGGAGAAGAAGTCCATTACAGTTTTCTGTTTTGTAACTACTATTTACCAGAGATTGTGAGAGTAATAAAAAGAGAGGTCAAAGATCAGTTTGGAAGAGACAGAGATTGTAAAAATTTTTTTTTAAAAATGAACAGACTAAATTAAAATAAATTACTAGCACTTTTGATATTAAAGACACATATTAGTTTATTACTTGTGGTCTTTTCTACTCAAAATATAAAAAGGTTTTTGTGCTTTTGCTTTTATTGATTAAAAATATACATATTTGTCATTTTCTCAGTTGTCCCAGCACACAGAAGTTCAGAGCTGGTTGTCTGTTTACATTGTTGCTCACAGGCCATTCTGTCTCTATCTTGCCACCTTTAATTGCCCTCTCAGGTCCAGCAAAGGTAATAATGTTGTAGATTAGAAATGAGAGCTCATAAACTTATTGTTTGATCTGSGGCGGCTGTGGCAGAGTGGATAGGGGAGTCGTCCTGTAACCAGTGAGTTCGATCCCCTCGTTCCATCTCTCTCAGACGTTGTGACACTTCACCTGCCTTGCCTGCTGGTGGTGGTCAGAGGGCCTGGTGAGCAGCCTCCCCTCTGTCAGTATACCCCAGGGTAGCTGTGGTTACGATGTAGCTTACCACCATCACTGTGTGAATGTGTTTATGACTGTAGTAGATAGCGATTTGGAGAAGAGTGCAATATAAATTTTAAAAAATTACCATATTATAAATTATTCCAAAACACTTGCAGGTACAAACTGCGTAAAAACTATTAATCTGGCTGATCAAACAAACCCCTGATCTCCTAAATGCTCACATTCGGCACAAGGCAAGTCCTGTGACCACTGTAATGATGCTATCACCACAATATTAAACTTTAATATTATGTTTGTCTAACATCATGGGTAAGGCTGCCACAATTAATCGATTAATCGACGACTAATCGAATAAATAATCAGTGATTAATCGATTATTAAAATAATTGTTTGTGGCAGCCCTAATCATGGGGCCTATTTTAACCTCCTAGGACTTGGCGCCACATATATGGACAAAAATGCATGCTATGCAAGAGTTTCATGTCTTAGAAGGTTAAAGTAATGAATTTTTTTTTTCAATACTGTTTTATAAAAGTGTTGTGACAAATTTGAAATGGCTTTGGTTGTGATCACTTATTGGTGTAGAAGAAAAATAAAAAGATCACTTAGTGATATTTAAACCGTAGCTTTTAACTTGCCAGCTTTATCACATTAAAGTGTGTATAAAAGCAAAGTGAGTTCGGCACTTTACTTAAGTGTTAACACACTTTTAAACAAAAGAGTTAGGCTTTTTCTGTTTTTTTAAACTGCCTACTTAAGGTTGGCCAAGGTTTGCTTTTCCCTTGTTACTAAGTAATGAGAGGTGTTACAGTAGAGCAGCTTTGTGTGAACTGTTGTTGACATGTGCTGGATTTAAATGATGCTTTGCGTGTTGATAACTTCATTTGTTTGAAGCCTTATCCCTCTGAAAAAGCTTCACTTGCTTACCTTCCTTTCTGCTCCTTTACCTATCCGGGACATATGAATAAAACTGGTTGGTTTCATGGTTTCATCAGAATTTTTGTCTTTTTATAGAAACTGATTTGAAAATGATAACAGCCATCTGTTCTCAGTATTTTGTTCCACGACAATGCTGTTTTGTTTTTCTGCTAATAAGCATAGATACAATCTACAACTAAACCGGACGGTTTGTGGTTTGTTTTCCATACAGGCAGTGTAGTGGACATCAGAGGAGACTTATTTCTAAGAAAAAAGAGGCGTTTCTGACCTGCCTTACAGTGGAATAGTGTATCGTGTAAACAAACAGAATGTGGTTTCTGGGCTGCAAGTGCTGCTGCATTTAACAAGAAGTGATTTTTTTTCAGCAAACAATAAAAGGAATTGAATAGAAACAGCCTTTATTGTCTCACATGGGAAATTCAGGTGATCAAAAATCATGACATTCTGATTAAAATATCCTCTAAACTGTTCTTTCTTTGTCTTGTTTAAACATTTACAGTACGTTAAACATTCAGTAGTTTAACCTAAATACTTAGTTTATATTGTCTCAGTTGGTATATTCATGCTGAAGGCCGAGTCTGTTTCCTGACGTGCTTTTTGTTTACTGTCTTCCATACGGCCCGGTATTTCTGTTGGGACACTGACTCCAAGTTCCTGTCCTGTTTTTCAGATTGTGCTGTGAACGTTCACAAGAGCTGCAAGTCTCTGCTGGGTGAGTGCACCAGCAGCAAGAATAAGGTAAACATTACACTCAAGCGTAGATAAGAGGACCAAGGCTAAAAGTTAAGTCACAATACTGTCGTCATGCCCTGATTTACAGGGTTAATTTTTATTTTATTTTATAGTCAGACTGCTCAGGATTTTGAAGCAGAAAAGGAAACTTATTAACATTGGTGTGAATATTTTTTGCCCCATATATAATATAATTATTATTACTGTCTTTTATGTGGATGATCTTCAGAGAATAAACAAGAAACAAGAAAGTGTAAATCCTGGAGAGCAGCTTTGTGTTTTTTATTTGCAGCTCAGCTAGAACACAACTAAAGATTAGATTTCAGCTTTTATTGTAAAAATCTGCCCGAGGTAGACCTTGGCCATCTTGTCTTGTCTTCTGCAGAAAGTACAATAACCGTGCGCTAATTTAAAAGTCCTTATCAAGTCGATGTCCCCAGCTGGCTTTGAAAAAAACATGAGAGCGGCCTTGAATCATCATCATCATCTTTATTTTTCTTCATGCAGAAAGATTGTCTTCCCAAGGCTGGCACATCTCCTAACGCCGGTGAGCAGAATAATATTTGTGTAGCTGAGCACAGTATCACTTTAACTGTAGGAGATCCATTGACTGACAAGGAGGTAGCTTTAGCTTATTTTGCTGTGCGTAGATAAGTTAGATTTTTGTGTGTGTGTGTGTGTGTGTGTGTGTGTGTGTGTGTGTGTGTGTGTGTGTGTGTGTGTGTGTGCGCGCGCACACTGAGTGGGGAGATTGGTCTCCAGCAGTCAGTAAAAAAAGGTGATGATTAGCTGCTGCTAAGAGTCAAGTCAAGCACTTGTGTGTGTCTTTTTATTTTTTGGTTAGAATTTATCTTGAGATATATTCATGTCTTTCCAAGCCAATAGACTTCATTAAATTCTACATAATTTCCCTTTTATTAGTTTTTTTCAATAATGCCTACTTTTTTGCATCAAAGTAATAAAAGACTTGTAATAAAAGTAATACAGACTTAACAGTTGTAAAGCCAAAGCACAAATAATGGTCTTTTGATCAGGTAATAGAGTCTGGCTTCTTGGTAAAATACTAATTAACTGGGCCAATTATATATAGTATCTAACACTAAATAAAGAATCATTACAATTATTGCATGTACTTTACTGTGTTTTATTATTCATTTTGATGAAATTAGAACATTGGTCTTATTGTGTAATGTAGCAGGTGCTGCTGCCTGCGACTGAGCCCACAGGAGACCTGAGTGTCCGCAGCAGCAGCTTCAGTTAATCTCCTGTAGCAGTTGTTATTCCCCTCAGAACAGCTGGAGTCCTGTCAGCCACACCTGATTTCTCCACATTTCCCGTCTCCAGCCAATCAGTGGCTTGAGCAGGGGGTCAGGAAGGATGGCGAACAGAGAGAGGAGATGATGATCTGCGAAGAATCAGAATTCGCTGGAAATATAAAAGGCGAGACACGTTTTCCAGAAGTTACTTTAAGACCCAGGACGTAAAGGTTCCGGTTCTGCTGTTACCTGCGCTGTAATCTCCATTGAGATTAGTGACTTTTCTTTTGGTTTGGGTTGTCAGACGGCTTCTTGTTAGTGTTTGGCATATTTGCGATGGACCTAGCGGTCGCTAAAAACGCTGGTAAAACCATAGACGCCTCCAAAGGTTGCTCCAGGACTGTTAAACCATCTTCGCGGTCTTTTCCCGCCTCATCGTGGCGTTTTTCCGGACATGTCGGCGTACGGGTCTTGATGCACCGCGACGTGGTCACCACCCAATTTTTCCGCTCCCTGCCTCGGTCTCGGCTGAAAAAATACTACAGTCGACTCGGAAAGGACTCGGACAAGTCGTCGGCTTCTCCAAATCTCTGGTCATCTTCTCCTTTCTCTGTGTCCCCTCCTCGTTTGTCCTTTCATTCCTCCTCCACTCCCCGTCGCCTCCTCCGTTCACCCGTGTCTCGTCTTTCTTTCCCAGCGCTGAAAGACCGGGACAGAGAGCGGGATCAGGCAGGCACGGCTGCATCTCAGGCCCTGGATGGCCACTGCCACGGCGCCCCAGGCATGACCCTTAGTTTGTGTGGCCCTAGCACTCCGTCAACTGGCCCCCAGACCACCAGCTCCACATTAGCCCCTGCCTGCAGCGTCGGTCACGGTCTTCGTCACAACAGCAGCTCAGTGTAAGTACCTCAGAATAAACAGCAGCTTTGTAGAGTTTATTTTAAATAAAGGTTATAAACAAAGCAACAACAAGGCTGCTCTGATAAATGCACGCCTTTGTTCCTGTTTGTGGGTTTGTGTGCCACCCTGGACCTGCTCTCTCCCCTCAGATCCCTCTCAGGGGAGATGGATGAAACAGACGCTGGCCGTTTCAAGCGCTGCAACGACGACTCCATTTCCCTCGCTCCTTCCATCGCCGAGTCCATCATCGTAGAAGGTAAGGTTCAGTCCAAATACTCTTATGTTGCTAATGCAGCTTTTACGAGCCTTCCTCAGACTTATGAGTCTTTAAGCCTCTGTCGGCTCGAGGGAGTTTTCAGAAAACCGGAGAGGAGAGTGTGTGTAGGAGCGGTTTGCTGAGCCAGGATTTCAGGCTTGTCTTATTAAACTGGAGTGTGTGGGAGAGAGGCAGGCTAAGTGGATACTTTAGTTTTTTTTTTTTACCTCTCTGCCACTCGTTTGTTTAAAGATGCACTCATAACCTGAGAGAATAAAGTGGTTTGTTGTATTTTCTTTAATCCCCAGCATTTCTGCTCCTCTCTAGATGCCAGCTATGGAGCGGTGCGGGCTGACCTCGAGTCAGACGCTCAGGACTTGGAGGCAGACTCGTGGAGTTCGGAGGTTGAGCCACAGTATCTGAAGAAGCACTCAAAGGAAACAGTGAAGAGGCAGGATGTGATTTACGGTAAGCAGAATTTCTCTTTTCTGAGAGATGTGATACAGAATTAACCCAACGATATGGAACCCAGTACAAAACGTGGAATCTGCTCCCTGTACGTTCTGCAGAGCTGATGCAGACGGAGATGCACCATGTGCGAACACTGAAGATAATGCTGCACGTGTACGTCCGAGAGCTGAAGGAGAAYCTGCAGATGGACTCGAGCCGACTGGACTGCCTGTTCCCCCGACTGGAGAACCTCCTGGACCTTCACACACAGTTCCTGTCTCGCCTCAAAGAGAGGCGGCGAGAAAGCCTTGTCCCCCACAGCAACAAGAACTACACCATGAACAGAGTGGCAGACATCCTGATCACACAGGTAGGGAGGAGCCATAACATTAAGACCACTGCACTGGATAAAAAAAGGCCACTCCAAAAATTAGTAAAAAATAAATAATTATATAGTTTGAAATAAGCAATAAAGTTTGCCTCTGGAACAAGTGAAGACTAACTTGACAGGATATCTAGAACTTTCCAAAATTGTATAGAAGACAAAACAAGTAGGGATGCAYGATATATATCGGTATTGATATCGGTATCGGTCTGATATGTAAAACTGGGCCGATATTAACATCTGATATTGATTTCCCACTTTTTATCTTTGTGTTTCTGTTTTGGGAGGGGAGATGGTTGGTTGAGCAGCATCTGTTTGATCRTGWTAGTGATATTGATGCTGCGCAGCCAGGAATAACTGACGCAGAGAGCCATGTCAGAGGTCTGGTCATTTTTATTTACAGTATCAAAAAAAGGCCCAAGTGTGTTTGTGCGTATTTGTATAATATAATTTGTGTGTTTGTGTAATATTGGTAAATATCAGTTATCGGCCATAACAGCAATAATTATATCGGATCTCGATATCGGCTGAAATTTTCATATCGGTGCATCCCAAAAAACAAATTAAGCTATTCTTGCAATTAAAGACATTTATGTTTAGTATCCAGTGCAACAGCCAATACTGCTATGCTGCCTTTTACAATTGCTTAGTCAGGTAACTCTTTGACATAATTTAAATAAAAAATAAAATAAAATAAAACACCCACAATAAGCAGATTTGTCTTAATTCAAGTTAATTATTTTCTTAAAACAAGATTTTTTAAAAAAAAATCCTCACAGCAGTTCTTATAAAATCTCAAAAACAGCTTGTTTCTTTTAAGAAAAAACTCAAAACGAGATGTTTTCAAGACAATTTCACTTTTCAAGGTTTTCAAAATGCATAGTTTCATATGTGTTTATCTCACTTGCATTAAGTGTGATGAGAGGTTTTGACTAAAAATTAACATGCTTGATAAGATTTTGTTTTTGCAGTGTGACTGATGAAGTGAATGATATAAATTTAGCACAAAAAATAAAGAAATGTGTGTTTGTATATTATTTCTTTGTTGTAACAATGCTTCTTGTCAGTAAACCTTACACTGTTAGAAAGTCTGTTAATTTCCATTTGAAATGGGGCCACATTTGTAAGGAACATGCATTTGTGGGATGAGCAGTAGAGCAGAGTTGGTTGGTTGAGCAGTCTGCCAACAGCTTATTTTGTTGTTGCGACTGACACGTTGTGATCTTCTGGTAYCCCCAGGCGCTGCCTGTCATGTGCCCGCTGTAAGATTTATTGCAGAGAAACATTTTTACAACAATATAATCTACCAAACACACATTTATTACTTCTTGTGCTCCATCCATCCCACAAGCTTCTGTCCTTTTCTAGTTCTCAGGTGAAATAGGAGAGAAGATGAAGGAATGTTATGGAGATTTCTGCGGTCACCACACTGAAGCTGTCAGCTACTACAAAGATCAGCTGCAAAACAACAGAAGGTTTCAAAACCTCATAAAAGTAAGACACGTGAGCACATTTTAAAAGGTTTGTTTTTATTTTCTATAGATGTTAAATCATCTCTTTTTGTTATTTATTTTAGAAAGTCAACAACCTGTCCATTGTGCGAAGGTTAGGAGTGACAGAGTGTATTCTGTTGGTGACTCAGCGGATCACAAAGTACCCGGTCCTGGTGGAGCGCATTCTGCACAACACTGAAGGTAACGCTCTTCAGAAACGTCCTAATACAACAAAATGAWCCCAGTATTCAGAACCAGATTGACTCTCTTTCTGGTCTCTAGTGGAAACAGAGGAGTATAAGGATCTGACCCGGGCACTGGGACTGATTAAAGACACCATCGTACAGGTGGACGCACTGGTTAACCTGCACGAGAAGAACTCCAGACTTCGAGACATACGCAACAAACTGGAGCCAAAGGCTTCTGGGAAATTTAAAGATGGCCGAGTGTTTCGCAGGGAGGACCTGACGCAGGTTAGGAGACGGCTGCTTCACGAGGGCACGGTCAGCTGGAAGGCTGCGTCTGGCAGACTCAAAGGTACGGAGCTGCAGCCTATTTACCTCAAAGCCCCTCTTTCTCACCTCCAAACCTGGCTGAGCGCCCCAGCCCTCACTACTTCCCACCACTCCCAGATACGTTCCACCATTTACTCTTTATCATAATAGTGCTGAGCATAGATTAAATTTTTTTATTATTATAAATCTCATTAATATGCTCAAAATTTAATAATGATTCAAAGATGTGCAGGACATTTTTCAGGTACTGTTTTATATAAAAATGGTTCAATGCATTTTCAAACCAGGACAATTTAGTGTTGCAGTTCTTACAGATAACTTTACTTCTGAGTTCTTTACAGCCCGCTGTCAGGAACACTTAAATTTAAAATGCCCAAAGTCGGGTGACTTCATGTTTCTGTCCATGCTGCTCATTTTCTGAAAGGTCAGTGTGAGCAGCTGGCTTCGCCAGGCAACAGTTCAACAACAAAACCTCTCATTGGTTGAGACACAATGATGGTGATCTACAGCCAATAGAAAATGATTTAAAATAATTATCACCATTAAAGAACTGCTGCATTACCGCAGTAATAACACATTAACATCACTACAAAATAATAAGAGTAAAGGGAATACACTTTTTTGGAAAAGGAAACAACTGAGTTATACAAAGTTTTAATTATTCAAATGACTTGTTTTGGTGATTTTTTTTTAAATAAAAACAAAGTGATATTTTTACAAACTCTCCTTATGCTCTCTGGTGCCCCCTGGTGAGGAACCACTGGTATACAGCATGATAGATTATTTTTTATAATAATACGTAGTCACATTTTGTTTCAGTGTAATGCATCAGGTATTTTGTAAAATAGCTGACTGTATTTCTGAGATTACTTTTGATTATCCCTCCAGATATTCTTGCTGTTTTGCTGTCGGATGTGTTGCTCTTAATGCAAGAGAAGGATCAAAGATACGTGTTCGTTACAGTTGTGAGTGATTTTTCCTGGTTTCTATATCCTTATAAACCTGCATTGTTGTTTTTCTCCTTGTCATTATTAGATATATTGATGAAACATTCTGACTTTAGTTTTTCATGCGTCGAACAAACCTCCTTGTTTTATTTCACTCAGGATAACAAGCCATCAGTTATCTCTCTCCAAAAGCTGATCGTCAGGGAAGTGGCTCACGAGGAGAAAGCCATGTTTCTTATCTGTGCTTCTTCCAACGAGCCAGAGATGTATGAGATCCACACCAACTCTAAAGAGGAGCGCAACACTTGGATGACGCACATACGACAGGCTGTTGAGAGGTAACTTATTATTCTAAAGCTTTTAGAGGAAACTCTTCTTTGTTACCCAAACACATCCAGCATCCTTCAACTGGTTTTATTGTGGAGAGGATCTACAAAATAAATTGCACTTTTCACACAAAACCAACAAAAAGGTATGTACTGTATGACTCAGTCAGCCTTCTTTTGTGTTTTCACCTCTTCACTGGCTCCGTTAGCTGTCCTCACTCTGAAGAGAGGCTGTTCAGCGAGGAAGAAGAGGCTCGAGCTGTCAGGCTCAAAGAATTCCGAGGTACCATCAAATCACAGAAATACTGAGTATAAAGAGAAAACATGGTCCACCACCAGGGGCTGCTGTTGTCTCTGAATACTTCAAAGTTGACTAATTTTTTGAGAATCAAGGCAGTTGTAGAATTGCTTTGCTCCACTGCTAATAAAAGACTTAAAGTAAGTTTTCTGCCTAGTTCTGCAGAAGTATTTTATTTTATTTTATTTTTTACTAAATTTGAAATGATCACTTTCTGATACGTGGCTCTTGTTTTGTGTTGCAGAGCGGCTGAGTCAGAAAGATGCGGTGATTGCTCAGGCTCTTACCGAGAAGCTGCAGCTGTTTGCAGACATGGCAGAGTCCGTGTCAGGTCTGGAGGACACGGCCTCTCGCTCCAGACTGCTGCTTCGAGGAGACACCTCAGACCTCCAGCAGGGGGAGACCCTGCTCAAAGGAGCCATCACAGAGGGTAGGATGATGCTGCACAACCATGTGCATCTGCATATGGCTCTTCATTTCATTCCATTTTATTTTTATTTATTTATTGCAGCTCTTCTTTGCTGTTTAATCTTTTTTTTAATCTTAGTTGAGAACCTGCAGAACCTTCTGCAGTCTGGAGTGAGGGAGGAAGCTGAACCCCCTCGGATGGAAGAAGGTGGTGGTTCTGGGGTTCTTCCCAGACGAGCAGACACCTTTGGGGGCTATGACAGCAGCCCCACCATCTTCATTAAGAGTGAGTCCAGCGTACTAAGTACTTCATGGAAGTATTTTTTCTTAAATTTTTTTTAATCCAGTGCATTTATTGGTTACATTTTCTAGCAAACCAAATAAAAGTTTAACACACAGTAGCTATATGTGTGGAGGTTTTAATGAATGCTTTATTCCAGTGAAGTAATTCTGTTTGTTCGTTCCTTTTTGTTTGTATTTCTTTGCACATATTTGTGTGTCTGCCAGATGGCAGTGTGAAGAAGAGCTTTCCTGGCGAGGCCAGAAGCCGAGACCGAAGCCAAAGAGCCAGCTCGGACCCTCAGCTCAAAAACCTCTGTGGCAGCCAGACTCTGGAGCAGACGGTAGGAGCTCTGCAGACACAAACACTGTCTACCTGCGACTGAGTCAGTGTTTGTGTTTTTGTTTTGTTTTTTTCCTGTAACTAGTCAGAAACAGATGAAGTCATCTGTAAAGTTTCCACATGGTCATATTTTACAGGAATGCTGTTTACGCAGATTTCTAGATTTGTTTGGAAACAGATAAAAAGCTAGATAAACGTTGTACTCAGAAGATTCAGGTTAATTCCAGTGAATCCTTGTCCTTCACAATAATCATAGACTAAACATATAAAATACAGTGTGCAGCACATCTGAGAGGCTGTGCTGTGGAATGGGCCGTTTAGATTTTGTGCATTATCTTTTTGCTGTTCAGATATTGAATTTAATACATACTTTTGCTCAGCTCTCCTGTCTTTTTTATCCTGGTTTGAGTGAATGAATCGATCAAGACTAAAATTCACTTTTTGCCACAACAAAATAAAAGCTTTTGTTACTTTGTTTTATTGTGATGTGTTGTATGTTGGCTGCTGAGACAGAACAGAACTGAAACCAAAACTTGAAAAAGGAGCAAAATGCTGAAATGAAAAACACTGAGAAGTAGAAATTTAAACCATAAAACAAGGAAAAAAACATGTTTGAGACGACTTTCTGAAATTTCAACACATTTGGATGTCACCTGGAGGTTTTAATGTACCTTTTTTAAGATTAGACATTTATTCTGCCATCACTGAATAATAATCACATTTTGTTTGATGGTCTGTTTCTGTGGCTCAGGTTGATGAGACCTGCCTCTCTCCTCCTAGATGGAACCGCATTTGGTCCAACTCGTTTCCTGAAGCTGAGGTAATTTTTATTTTATTTTATTTCATCACCATTATTTTTGATCTTTTGCAGGAATTCGGTCAGTTGTATTATTTTGATTATAGTGCTTATATTCCTAGTTTAATAATCTTTTTTTGGTGTTYTAGTTCTTTGACAAAGTTTTGATGCTCTCCCAGAGGCTTTATAGTTTGCAGGTAATGAAGTCACTTTTATTTTCCTTTATAATCCTTAACTTTTCAGAATCAGAAAGCCTTTATTTGTCATTGTACAGAGCACAAGGACATTTTGAATCTTATATTGTTGACATGTCCATAACTGTGTCTCTCGCTCGTCAGGCCATCATATCCCAGCAGGACAGTCAGATCGAGCTGCAGCGGGCCTCGCTCACAGAGCGGGTGTCRTTGCCGGGCCGCCACAGAGGAAGTGTGCTTCTGGAGCAGGAGAAACAGCGGACTCTGGCTCTGCAGAGAGAGGAGCTGGCCACCTTGCATAAGCTGCAGTCCCAGCACAGACAGGMGCAGCAGCGCTGGGAGAAGGAGCGTGAGCGGCACCRCCAGCAAGTGGAGGCTACAGAGGCCAGGCTTCAGCAGAGAGAGGAGGAGTGCAGGAGGCTCGAGGTGCKCAAGTCATTAAACTACTCCTGCAAATATTTTGCACTCTTTTGCTTTACAACATGTAAAATGATTTTTTTTTTTTTTTTTTGAGTACAGGAGCAGCTGGCAAAGGAGAGAGAAGAGCTGGACATGCAGAGAGAGACGTATCAGCAGGACTTGGAGAGACTGAGAGAGTCCACCAGAGCTGTGGAAAAAGAAAAGGAACGCCTGGAAAACCTGAAGAAGTTTAAGAGGAAGACAATTGAGGTCAGCTGTTAACTGTGGAAACATATTAAGACAAACCTCAGTTAAACACAATGCTGTATTGGCTGATAGATGAAAGATAAAGTGGAACAATGTTGGAGCGTATTTAAACTAGCAGGATGTGATCAATACGTCGTTTGCTCCATTCAAAAAGTACAGTTCTACACCTGAGTCGGCAGGAAGTGACAAAATCAAATGTGAACAGACAAAACAAGCAGAGCAGACAATAATTTAGTTGTCCTGATTGCATAACAGCTTCAGAAAGGATCTACACATGCTAACACGTGTAGCATCCAGATTTACTTTCATTAACACTTCAGAGCCGTGGACTGTTCACACTGGAGTCTGATGGAGATCACAGTGAAGTTAAAATGTGTTTTACTCACTATGGATTTGTGAGTAACCGCCATCTTGAATTCTGAACTCTCCCACTTTCCAACAGGGAATTCCCACTTCCCAGTACAACTGTGCTGCAGAAAAAGTAGCCGACAAAGATGCAGCAAAATGGAAATTTTGCACAGTGAATTTTACCTTTCATCCCTGTGCACCTAGTGGTCATTCTGCTGGTAAAATAATCAACATGCATTATGGGAGATGTAGTTTATGGTCAATGCTGGCTTCAAAGCAGCTTATTTTAAGACATTAATACATCTTTGTAGCTCTTGCGTGCCACACAAACTGCTATGATGGGCCACATATGGCCCGGTGGCCTTAAGTTTGACACGTGTTCCAGGTGCTCTTTCTTGCATCTGTCTCTATCCTTGCGGCACAATGCGGGCCATTGTTTSTGAATTTCATGGGAGAGAAGTTTTAAGATCTGCTGGCTGTAATTTCATGCCTGGTGTTAACATGTCTGTCAAAGAGTTACAGTAAAGTTGCCCAATAGGAGCTTTGTGTGTTTTCAGAAGGATGTGTCACCCAGTCGTTGCTTGGCTCGTCTCTCTGTCACAACCTGAGGAAATATCGCACAATTGTTACTTTCATGCAGACTTTGTCTTTGTCTCAAGCTAATAAAATCAGGACTGATAAGATCAGAACATCAACAGGAACAGTTCTGATTCACATGACTTTGTCTCCAGGAACCTGAATAAAACACGTAATGATATGTTTACGCTAAATAATGATCCCACAAATAAGTAGAAGGCGTGAGTCATTGTCTCGGGTTTGTGATGACCACTGAGTTGTTTCAGTGCAGCTGATTCATGCTTGTTTCCCATAATATCATCCTCTGCAATAAGCATGTGTTTCATCTTACATAATACACTCAGTAACTGAAGGGGACAGTTACCTCAAAAATGAAGTAAACTTACAAATAACCATTTTAATACTTAGTTGACAACTTATCTGCTGTTTGTTTTTGTTATCCTAAAAGTCATTCAAAACTGGTCAGTCAGTTCACTGGGAACTTGGTCACAAAAGCTCAGAATTCAGGGACTTAAATGGAAAATTGACCTATTTTATCACAATTATGAGTCGCCGGCTCGTCTCAAACCCAGTCAAATKCTTTTCCACATGCATGGGTTGCAGCTCTGTGCTAAAGGGACTTTCTTGGCTGCGGTTTAGGAGGATTTGGAAGTGGTTTGCATCAAACAACATCAGACTGTCTTTTCATTAACAGTCTGTTCCAGGCTCTGAGCCAACCTGATATCAGTTGACATTTAATCATCACCGCCCAAAATTAAGACTCATCAACAAACCTGGAGACCTATAATTAGACCTTGTAAAAAGAGAAAAAAAAGAAGATGGTGTGTGTTTCTAAATATCTGTGCAAGCTGGAACTTGTCTGGATTTCAGAGGAACTTTTCTTTCATCTTTTATCTCTCCTGATCATGTTCGGCTTCATGGATTTTTTTTTTTCTTTTCTTGATTGCGACCCAGAATAGAGACATGTGTCAAGTTGTATAATAGTCTTGTGGATTAAGCTCATAAATTATAGCCAAAATTAAATTGACAGGTAGATGTTTGAATGTCACTAAAAGTCACTTAAAAACTAATAAACCTGAAAGGAAGAAATTAGACTCTGTCCCACCAAGTTGCCAGTTTTTAAGAAGTCAGGAAAACTTCTTTATTTTTTACTTTACCCTGAGGTCATAAATTGGTACAATTGGTAAATATGAGAAGACATTTTGCATTGAGACACACTGATGAAGCCTTTGTTCAGCTAATAATAATAATAATAGTAAAAATAATAATAATAATAATGAATTTAATTTGTAACACACTTTTCATTAGCAAAAATCTCATTGATTGTTGGTAGTATAAAAAATATTGTGCCACACAACCTCAGATCAAATGTAACTGCAAAAAAACTAGACATTAGAAACTTTAACATGGTTAGATAGCAAATAAGAGTGTAAATTTCAGGAAATGACAACCTAACATACCCTGTGGAGAGATTTTAAGCCACAATGAGAGTTTTTATTCTTTTTTTTTACAAATCAGGTCGATCTACAGCCATTATAAGCAGTGTTTCAAAGACATACGCTACATATACATGTAATTATGTGCATTTATAAAACATTTCATTTTTTTTCAAATCAAAATTGCTCCTAAACAAAAAAAATTGCCACTTTGAATGTTTTAGATTACAATTGGGGGATTGTTTGATTTAATTTGAGGAAAGGTCATGTGATCCACAAGCTCAATTTGGTAGGAAAGATCAAATGTTTAATAGACCCAAAGATGCTCAAATCCAAAAAGTAAAGGCAGTTTCGGAATCCTTATCAAATTACTTTTCCCATGATACCAAGTTTGTGAAAGTTGACTCAGTAGTTTCTGAGATAACTTGGGTTTAAAATGGGCAGATGCCCCCAATTTTGCAGAAAATCCTAAATTTTGGTGGGCCATATCTCTGGAACCAGTGGTCCGATACTGGGCTGAGATCACAATAAACAAATATACCAATTTTCATCAAAATCTGAGACGGTCAGGTTAAAACCATTGGTTGATTTGTTATAGAATGACCCTATTAGCTGATGTCATCATCCGTGCATTTTTATATGACGGTGTTCTTTAAATATAAGAATTTGGGCAAAAACAATCTAGGAAATTAAAGATGTTCCACATCAGTTGTTTCAACAGGTTAATTGCTGTAACCTGAGCCTGCTGGCTTATTGACTTTTCCTGGTGTGTTCCCCTGACACACTAATGTATTGATTTTCTGCAGGCCTGACCACACAAACACACAGGTTTTTATTTCTATCCTCCTCTGGACAGTTCATTGACTTCCATTTATTTGTATTAGTTTCTATAGCCTAACTCTGACCGCTTACCTTAAACCTAAACCTCCCAGCACATACATAACCTAACCTACATGCAATTCACACTTTGGTCCTAAACCTAAACATCCAAAAATGAGGTTCCTCCACATCAGGACWGGTCTCTGGTCCCCGTAAGGACAACTGGTCTTGACGAGGTAGGTGTTTTTACCATACAAGTGTATACACGCAAACACACACACACAGATGACYCACCTCTGTCCTGGTTAGTCTTTTAGTTTTCAGCTTTGTTCAACTAAAACAAAGAAAAATTCGTATTTATTTAATCATTTGAATAATTAATGTTTTTAACCCACTAATGCTTCTAATCTTAATCTTAATGTAATTGTGTTTTCTAGAGAATAATGTGTGCAGATTAAAGATGAKATTTTTTGGGGAAAAAAATGTAAGGATTCGTGAGTTTGTTTAATATCGTCTTATTTTTATTAGATAAATAATTGCTCAAACATACATAACACAGAGCAGATAGCAGTGTTTGCTCAGAGTAATCCTCTAATTTATAAACCGTGTGATTACTTAGGCTCAGCTTGATTTAGTATTAGATGTGTTTATCTTGACTTGTTGGCTAATCTTAATTCAGCTCAGATCCGAGCTGCAGATGACCCATAAAAGTTAGATTTATTACACTTCATGCTGTTCAGGTGAGATATTAACCTGGAATGTGGTTCCAGGTTTGAGTCCATCTCATCCCTCACAGAGTGAAGGATTCTGGGTATTTAACAAACAGAAGAGTCTGTGTGCAGTAGTGTGTAGGCCTCAGGGATGATCTGCAAAGTGGAAGGAGAACTAACCAATCTGTAGTTGCCTCTAAGTGGTGTCCATTTTCTCCAAAGCAACTTATTGTTCAGTGTTGGTAAAGATAAACACACAGAAAGATCCAGGCTGTTTTTAGGATGCGGGGACCTGGCTGTGTAATTAGCTACCCCAAACCTGTTATTTCCCTCTGGAAGGCAGCGAGTGCTAATTGTTTGTGTTGTCACTCAGATCTCTTTGTAGCTTCTGCCGCTTCGGTGACTGGATACCATTATTTTTTTCTTTTACGTCACTAAAACTGATCAAGTTGTCCCAGGAACAATTGAACCCCTGTGTGAAGATGACTGAGTGCTGAAAGATGAGAAGTGATGCAGAGGAAGGAGATCTGGAGCCTCAGTCTGACTGAAGGCATCACGTTGTGCTTTGTGGTCACAGCTGGAGGAAACACTGTTAGAACGTCATCAGTCATGATGAATGTGGGCCTCGTGACAGAAAAATCTATTCTATTGACACACAACCTGCAGTTGGTTGGGACTATTTTATCACTGTATTTTGGAAGTGACTTATTTTTAATAATTGTAAATAGTACCAAAAAATTCAGGTGGCCTCTCTGTTCTTATCTCATATATTAAAAGCAAAGATGTGCATAAAAGATGTCCACAACACAGAGGAGAAAAAAGTGAGTGTTAGTGCTGTGTTCAAGACCAGAGAGCTTAGATTGTTGGTTTTACGGTTGGAGATTTTGAGGCRGTTGTGGCAGAGTGGTTGGGTTGCCGGTTCTGTCCCCTGTTCCTTTCATCTCAGTTGTGTTCTTGGGCAAGACCCTTCACCCGCCTTGCCTGATGCCCTGCCTCTGTCAGTCTGCCCCAGGCCAGCTGTGGCTACAGTGTAGCTTACCACTATCGGTGTGTGAATGACTGTAGTGTAAAGTAGGGCTGGGCGATATGAGGGAAATCTTATATCCCGATATTTTTTGGCTAAATCACAATACACGATGTATATCACAATACCTCCAAAATCAATGTAAAAATTATTTAAAATTTATCCAAAAAATTTGAATACTGAATCTGAACAAATATAAATGTTTTCTTTTAACAAAAAGAAAAAAAATAGGTCCTCTGGATGGGTTCTTCTTTAGTGAAACGTTTCGTCTCTCCTCCAAGAGACTTCTTCAGTCTGATGAGTTTCAGGTGAACTCAGCCTTATAAGCACTGCCTCCACATGGACAAAAAAGTTAGTCACATGGAAAGGAGGGCGACTAAATGCAGCTAATCAAGCCTATTGTTAGGCAATGGCCCTCTTTGGCACGTGACTAACCAGTTTGTCATGTTATAAGGCTGAGTTCACCTGAAACTCATCAGACTGAAGAAGTCTCTTGGAGGAGAGATGAAACATTTCACTAAAGAAGAACCCATCCAGAGGACCTACTTATTTTTTCTTTTTGATTTTTTTCTACCTGGATTACTGAGATGCATCAGAACGTTTTATTTTAACAATCATTTGCGCACATAAGATTTTTACAAATGGAATTATTGCCACTGTAAGCCATTTACATAGCAGCAAAAAAGTACACCAAGCAAAAGGGAAAAATTAACCATCCATCCATTTTCTGTACACGCTTCTTCCTTTTCAGGGTTGCGTGGGTCACTGGTGCCCATATCCAGCAGTCACAGTGCGAGGGGCGGGGTACACCCTGGACAGGTCACAAGTCCATCACAGGGCCACACATAGAGACAAACGAGACAAACAACCATTCACTCTCACCTAGGGACAATTTAGACTTGTGCTTTTAACATAATTGTAAAATTAAAAAAAAAATGTGATGGCTTAAAAATACAAAAACAAAAGTATCAACAGTGACAACAAAATTGACTGACCCAGAACGGCATGTTTTACAATTTACCGCATTTTGATCGACGTCCTCTTTATGAAATCCAAACCACTGCCAGATTATTACTCCAGTGCTGTTTCTCTTTGGAACTAGTTTATTTGAGTTTTCTTCAGTTTTATTCCCATTCACATGCTCCTGAATCTCCCACTGCGGCCATGTTTTCCCTACGCACACATGCTCCTCTCTCTGTGTCCAAAGGGGAGGGGGCTAGTGATGCATTCAAGTGTGTCGGAAAAGAAAAACTTGCAAGGATGCAGCGTGTTTGCATGATAATTATACTCGATGGTTACGATAAAGCCATTTTAGCAATCGTACATTGAAACGCTCATGATACATCGAGTATATTCGATACATCACCCACCCCTAATGTGAAGTGCTTTGGAGTCTGTAGCGCTACACCATTTACCATTTTARCCAACTGCGCTCAGACGTTGAGTTTTAATTTTTGTTTCACGATGTTATTGTTGGTGCGATGATGAGGTCGAGCATCCGTTTCGCTGCGGACCGCCTCTTCAGTTGCAGTCGATTTGTTTTAAGAACAAAAAACCTTTATGTGCAAAACAAAGAATTCAGACCAAAACTATAAATCCCACAGCTGAATGATTTCAATGTGAAAAGGGATTAAAAGCTTGATACGTCTCTTTTAAACTGAACAGCATTTCTGTTCACATTGTAGGAGGTCTTTTGTATTTTTTGTAACCCGACATGTTRGGATTACTAAAACAAACAGCAGATTCTCTGTTGATGAATCCTCCTGGCTGACTCGATTTTTCGACGATTCTTTGATTCATGCCAGTGTTCTTGCAAACAATGCAGTTTCTGTCTTTTATCTCCTGATGTCATGAGAGCTGTGTTTGTTGCCCTGCTTGTCCGACTAACCTGTCTTTTGTTGGACGCACCTTTATGTGCACACGGTGGTTTGATGTTTCTTGTTCTGTGGGTCCTTATCAAAGTGCACGCTGAGCAGGAAAATGCTCCTTTTTTAGGTTCATAAATACTCTGCCTCTGAACAGATTGTGTTTGTTTTCAAGTTGAAAGATGTCTGTGCAAGCTAGTTATGATTAAAAAATAAATTCAAACAGGATGTTCTGCGACTCTGACTCCAAACCGAGTCAGACCACAGAAACAAATAATTAGAGGACAGAGTTAGGAGGCTGTTCTTTGAACTAAAATACAACATTAGACGTCTTACAAGATACAAAATCACATCAGCAAACAATATTCAGTCTTTTCTCTCCTTAAGGTGGCTCCTCTRTCTGGGAGTTTAAATGGAGATCTCCTCTCCGGCTCCACCGGCGTGTCCGACTCGTCTCTGTCCCATAAGCCCTTGGCTCGGACCAGCCTGTCCGTCGCTCCGGCCGACTACCCCGAGCGCCCCGAGGTGACTCCGCGGCGCGACGCGAGCGCCTCCGCTCTTCCGCTGAAGACCGAAGTGCCGCTGCATCTCTTCAGCACCACCAACCAGCAGCACAAAGCCGTGGGGGTGCAGCAGCAGATCCCCACCAAACTGGCAGCGATCAACAGCGGCAAAGGGAAAGGCGGGAAGGGCGGCAAGGCCTCGCATCGCACCGACAGCACGGGTAAGAGCAGACTTCAGAGGGAAGCCACGCAAATCAAAATTCACAATAAAAAACTGTTAGAAAGTGAAACGAGAGCAACTGAAGGAATTACAAAGAAACTCTGATTCCGTTGCAGAAGTTTTGCTAACAATGCAGCTGTCAAACTGTCAGCCTCTGGGGGAAATAGATGTTTATCTCAGGAGCCAACAAGTTTCGAGTTGCTCTTTGAAACGATACCAAATATGCGACAAAGTATGTGAGGAGATGCCTCCGTGCTTGCCCGTGCTTGTTCYGGGTCACACTCAGACTGAAATCTTATTTTCCTTTTGCTGTTTTTTTTATTTGTTTTCTGAGGAGAAACTGATGCCAAGATTAGGAGATTTAAAACTACAAGTGATGTTAAAAACAAAGACTTTGTTCCTGTTTCTGCTGATTTATTTGCATTCTSTGAAAGATTTCCCAGCTCTTCGCCTGAGCAGATTACTCTTATTATCTGTCTAAATTAGTTTAAACCTGCTGATTTATCAGATAGTGTCCTGCTGTGGTGCTTCAGTGTGATCTAATATTCCAATTAAATCCCTCTCTGCCTCTTTTTGTGTGTCTCCTCTCAGCCTCAGTGGACATGAAGCAGATGCTGCCTTTGAAACTCTCCTCCAAAGAGGACAACACCCTGAAGGCCAAGCGCTCCATCAGCCCCCACCAGCAGCCCCCACCTCAGTGCCTGTCCCTGCATCACCACATAGGTATCTTTTTTTTTTACGTTTGTCCAGATGTAATCAGAAACACCTGCCTGCTTTGTTTTTCTAATATTAGCCCTCACAATAACGCAATTTTGCTTGATGATTAATTGTCTCAATTATTTTTTGCAATAAACAGTAATATTGAGACCATTTTTAAGTTAAAATACCGATATGCCAGAGTTCACTCGTCCCTACACTGAGGAGTAGAAAAGAGGCGAAGAAAACAAGCAGGCAAATGAAAACGATCAACCTCATTTTAGTTTTATTGTGTGATAAAATTTATCACAACAGACCCAGAGATGGGTACTCGTTACTCAGACTTGGACTTGAGTTGCACTTAAGTCTCTACTATTAGAGACTTAGACTTGACTTGGACCCTAAAGAGTCGAGTCTTTTCACTGCCCGGCTCACGATTCTCACTCCCTCAATACACATCCACGCTCCAATCCTTTGAGAACAAACACATAAAGTTTTAAGAGCAAAGACATTTACTCCTGCTCTCAAATTGAAAACGCTCTTGATTAAAGTCAGAATAATTCTTCCATACACTCCGCTCCCCCTCACCTGAGAATGGGAGGGGCCAGCGCAGTCCAATGTTATGACGTGTACCCTTTGTGATAAACGGCTTCAGCATGCAGGTGCATTGCAGTAGGCAGCTCCGCTGACATTTATTATAAGCTTTGCTTATAGAGACTTTATTCAACACCATGACAAGAGACTGGCAAAATGCAAAGTGTGTGGAGTCCAAATCCAAATTTTATTTTATTTTATTTTATTTTTTGTGATGACTTGTGCAGCCCTTTTACTTTAAGGATTCTGGTTCACCATCTTCACTAACATGTTTTTATGCATTTAAAATATTTTTCAGGTATATTATTGTAAAATCAGCAGCAGACTTGTTGAATTTGTTCTTTGTCAATGAAAAGATATAATTACAGTATCTTTTTGTAAGACTACAAGTGCAAAATACAGTTAACAATACTAAATGCTTGATTGTTGTTATTTCTGTATTTTAAAAACAGTATTATGTTTTGATAGTATTATTAAAGCATAATACTATGTTTTAATATTTTATTAAATATATAGTATTATAGAATATAATCTAGTATAGTTAGAATACCTTTGATCAAACTGCCAGTTAAGTGATACACGCAACGAGACTTGGACTTGTGGTCAAGAGACTTGAGACTTGACTTGGATTTTTGGTCAGCTTGGACTTGCAAAAAACGACTTCTGCAGCAGGCCAAGTTCCCACGGACACAAACACGGCGTTGCATTCTTCACCTGGGCAAAGCTGACCCCGCCCTCTGACATTCCTCTGCGGAGCTTCACGCCGGCCTCGCCCTGTGTAAACACCTATCAGTTTCACACGCTTCTCTTTGATTAATGGCCGGCTCGGCTGCTGACACTGCCGTTTTAATCCCATTTCTTTTAACAGTCACCTCCGACACAAAAACMATTGGTGAGAGTTTGTGTGACTGATTGCAGTTTGGATAAATAATCCAGCTGTTCTGAGCAGCAGAGACTCTCTAATGCTCCGTTTGTCGTTTCTTTTSTTCCCTAATGACTTTTCTTTTCTGTTTTCCCACAGATCAGCTGAGTCCTCCAGACAGCGCCGGACCCGACCCTCCGCTCACCAGCTCCTCCCACCCGTCTCACTCACAGAAACCCCCCATACCGACCCCACATCCCACCCTGTCCCTGCCCACCGAGCCGCTCCAGTTCCAGCCCCACGGGCCGAACATTCACAGCAAACCCCCTCTGTACCCCATCCCTACAGAAGACCTGAATAAGGAGGATGTTATATTTTTTTAAGACCAAGCTCCGGCCTCTGATCCCAGATCAGCCACAAGCCTTGATTTTAAAAAAGGAGCAGCTTTTCACAGTTTAACTCTCSGCACAAAGCTGCAGCGGTTTATCAGAGCTGCAGTGGCTCAAACAGAGAATAATGTTTTTTTACTTCATATTTGCATCTAAATCGCCTATAATGTTTTATTTAATTTTTAGTTTTATATCTAAGCTTTTAATTCTAGGGTGGAACCTGGGGTCAAAAGGTGTCCTGTAGAATGTTCCTTTTTTTAATTATTATTTTTTTTATAGAAACAAAGTTTTATTAATCCAAAGACAGGAGAGGTGACGTGTGTGACTAAAAGCAGCATTGTGGATTATTTTTCTTTTTTTAAATGAAGAGGATGAGTGCTGGTTTTCTCTGTGCACTTCTGCTGGACCTGACCTGGTGGAACAGAAATGATTCAGCTCCAATGGTTTTATTTTGCACAGTGTAAAATGCTCCACTCCCAACTAATGAAGGAACTTTTCTGTGGGAAAATGTTGTAAAAATGTGATTGTACAGCTGTTGATATCGTGAAGCTTAATTTCTGTTTGTTTATTGGTCCTGATTGAGCTTATTGACGAAAAGCTAAAATAATATTGCTGCTCGTTTGTGGAAGGTCACTGTAATATTTTATTTTCACTTATAGAAGAATTTTGGCAGGTTTTTCCTAATAGACAAAGAAAAACAAACACAAAAATTGCCCTGTAAAAACAAAGAGTAAAAAATTCTGGTTTTACCCTGCATTTATATCCCTCAGCTTTTTAAATGGTGTAGCTGAAACGTTTCATGTTTTATTGTAGAAATCAGCAACTTCTGGTACTTTTAAACTAAAATGGACTCAACCTGCTGTTAAACAGGCCCATATCTGACCTGACGAAGGTCAAATCTGTAACTTTTAACAGTGACGTTTGATGCAGAGTTGACGAATCTCATAGTTTTGTCGTTTGAATTTTAACAATTTTCGGTCAAAATCRTTGTGGACATCTCAAAATCACAGCAGCTGTATTTTTTTTAACAAAAATAATAATAATTAAAATAAATAAATAAATTGGTCCTAAATCAAACAGGCAGTGGTGGGCACAGCTGACCAAAAATGAGCATTACTAAGCACTAATCTGCTAATCAAGAATGTGACCTAACGAAACTGTTAAACAGTTTTTTAAATTAGTTGAAGCTAAYGCTAACTGCTAAGACAACATTCATACATATTCATCTCCTTCCAGTTGTCTGGTGGGACTGACGCCAACGCCAATMCAAGTTATTACCAGTTGTTACCCTGTCTAAGGTGATACATCCATTTGAACCCTTTCAGAATAAAAGCTTTTCTTTGATCAAATTTCTAGTTTTATAAATTCCGTTTGAAGTTGGTCAAACAACAAATAGCAATTACATTCTCTACCAAATTTTATATGTAGTCAGTTGTATTTGTTATTTTAAATATTGTTTACTATTTTATTTTTTAACACTCTTAGTTTGAAATTTAGCATCTAAAGATGCTACTCAAACATCCTGACATGTCCAGCACTGCTTGTGAGAGGGAATAGTTTTTATTTAATTCTGGAAAAGTGACAAAAATCTCAGTTTTACACTTACTTAAAATTAGCGGAACCTAATCGTTCATAACCGGTTTCCAAAGTGAGATAATCTGCTAAATGAGAAGCTAGTTCCTCTGTTAGCGGATTAGCAGAACTGTGCCCACCACTGCAAACAGGTAAACAATAATTTGTACTTGTAACTTTGCTTTTACGCTTATCGGCCCAGTCAGCAGAAGGAAATTAGTGCCTGAAGAGGAATAACAGTAAAAACATCTGCACTGAGTGAAGAAAGCAGAGTTGCAGTTTGTTAATGTGACTGACAGGATGTAGTTTTTAAAAGTTCGTTTCACTGGAACTTCTACCACTGATCTGTCAGTTAGCGGGATATTAAATCAGCAAACTGAAGGTACTTTTCTGCTGCCTGGATGCTACGTTTAACTGAGGTCCTATCAGCCAGCTGGATGTTAAAACTCAAAAAGGTAGCTGACCGCTTGTCCTGCAGCGAGAATAACTGAAAGATTAAATCAGTTTCTGTCATTTCTGTTGTACATATCTCTGTTGCATTAGTCTCCCTCATCCTACACACTCTGGTAAAAACAAAGACTTGATATGAAGATGTGAAACAAAGAATCAATCAGATGTTTGTCATGTGTAACATGCATGTGTTGTAAGTAGATTACAGTGAGCCATGAACCATAATGGTTTGTTGCTGTAAAATCTGTCTGAAACTGAAGGTGGATATTTAAAATCTCCTAACATGTGTTTAAGTTGTTGCACTGAAGTCCAGGCGCAGYGTCTGCCGGCTCGCCGCTCCCGTGTTTCACAAAAGATTGTGCGGCGGTTCCAACATAACTGTCTGCTTTGTTTCGGTGGTTTGAAACCAAAGACACGCTCGGCTTTCTTGGCRCGGAGGATAAACGGACACGGTGGTGTGGTCATCCACCAGGCGTTTCATCCTGCAGGGAGTGTCCAGAACAACCGGACTGATTGTAGTCCAGCTCACATCCTGCGTCAGATCTGGCTTTTTTGAAGTTTGTTWGTAAACCAGATGGGTGTGAACGTTCACTCAGGCCCATGATAAGAAACACACACCTATAGTGTGACGATCCAGACAGCTGTAGATTAGTGTTGATGGGCGTTTGTTTTTGTGGCCTGAGAGACTCAAACAGCTGATGTTTTGTTTTAATTTCATGCCAACAGATGTTAGTTTGTCCTGCAGTGGAGGCGTTGGGGTGTTTTGTCCCGGGTCGAATCGTTTCAGAGGAGCTGATACAACAGGAAAACTTGTACGAGCACTTTAGTTCTGCTCCAGACATTTCTCAAACCTCAGCAGGTGTGAGGCTGCGTGTGGTTTTGTATTTTCTACCTCGTGGGGACATTTGTCAGACACTGCCTTTTGGGGACCAAAGCCTGGTCCCCACAGGTACAGATGGTGTTTTTGGATTTGGGGTTAAGTTTAGGACTTGTCGCTCAAGTGCCACTTGTGCATTATGTTGGCCCTCCAAGGTCCAGCTGTAATTATCTTTGACGWTTCCTGTCACATTTCTCGTCTTATTGCTACGACTGAGCTAGCCTGGTAAAAACCAGACCCTTGTCCTTCACATTGATTCGTACGAAGGTCTGGACTCGTGGCTATAGAGAAGTGATTCTTGCTGGAGGCGTGGCCTCTGCTGAAGTGTAAAATGATTGGATCTGTTGGCTGCAACATATGTGTACGCTAGCTCCACTGTGAAGGAGGCTAAGCTAAGAAGCTGATTGGAAATCGCATGCGCTGTAAACAGCCCTGCTGAGAGGAGAAAAGTACCGAACCAAACGAGACGGCTGTAAATGAAAGCTGCTGCTTTGTCAGACAAATTAAATTTAATTTGGAAGCCTTATCAACACAGACTGGCTTCATTCACTTCCTTCACTGCCGTATGCTGAACTAACTAGCAGACACTGCACAGAAAATCGACATCGTTAAAACTCCTCCTTCTGTTTGCTGATTGGCCCAGGTAAAATAAACTACAAGTAGACACTGCGCAGAAAATCGACATCGTTAAAACTCCTCCTTCTGTTTGCTGATTGGCCCAGGTAAAATAAACTACAAGTAGACACTGCGCAGAAAATCGACATCGTTAAAACTCCTCCTTCTGTTTGCTGATTGGCCCAGGTAAAATAAACTACAAGCAGACACTGCGCAGAAAATCGATGTCGTTCAAAACTCCGCCTTCTGTTTGCTGATTGGCCCAGGTAAAATAAACTACAAGCAGACACTGCGCAGAAAATCAACATTCTGTTCTCTGATTGGCCCCGACGAAAATTCTCCCGAAGAAATCCTTGTCAATGGGAGAAGTCCCAGACGGAGCAGTGAAGGGAAACTAGAATTGAGCAGAACTGCACAGGAAGGCAAGGGACAGGCTACGACTGAGCACAGCTAGCTGAGCTCTGCCTGGTATTTCCTGCATAGGAACAATATTTTAACACGTCCTCTTATAAACACTGAAAAGTACTACGTGTACGACTAAATGTGAAATAAATAATACAGAAGTACTATTAGAAGTAAGAGTATTACTCACTGAGCTGTGAGTAGCTGCTGTCTTGAATTCTAAACTTTCCCACTTTCCACCAGGAATTCCCACTGGAGGGATGTTACAGTTTAAAGCCACAGCTAGTAAGTGGAATATTCCCACTTCCCAGTACAACTGGGCTGCTGTAAAAGTAGCCGGCAATAATGCAGATAATCCACCGGCTACTTTTTGAACCCTGTGCACCTCCACCTAGTGGTGAGATGCAGTGATTTTGTGGGTAAAATAATCAACTTGCATTATGGGAGATGTTTATGGTCAGTGATGGCTTTAAAGCAGTTTATTTTTAACACAATACATCTTTAAAGCTCTTGCAGGCCACATAAAATGCCACGGTGGGCCACATTTAACCCATGGACCTTGAGTTTGACATGCACACTAAAGTGTGAATTGAGTTTAGATTCAGAGTCGGGGTTGGGTTATAGAAATGACTAGAATTGGAAGTTGCTGCAAAGTCCCCATGAGGATAGAAAAGCAAACTGCGTGTGTGCGCGCACCACCGTTTTCATCAAATGAAGTCTTAAATGTTGCATCGCTGCACTGAAATGCTTTAAGTGTGTGGCTCTGTTATATAATTCAGAAGCCTGTCAGTCTTATCACTGTGTGTGTGTGTGTGTGTGTGTGTGTGTGTGTGT